CAATAAAAAACTTAAAAGTGGATCAAAGACTTAAACATAAGACAAGATACAATAAACCTCCTAGAAGAAAATATAGGCAAAACATTATCTGACATACATCTCAAAAATGTTCTCCTAGGACAGTCTACCCAAGCAATAGAAATAAAGGCAAGAATAAATAAATGGGACATAATTAAACTTACAAGCATCTGCACAGCAAAGGAAACCATAAGCAAAACGACAACCTACAGAATGGGAGAAAATTTTTGCAAACAATGAAACCGACAAAGACTTGATCTCCAGCATACATAAGCAGCTCATATGGCTTAATAAGAAAAAAACAAACAACCCAATCCAAAAATGGGCAGAAGACCTAAACAAGCAATTCTCTAAGGAAGAAATACAAATGATCAATAGGCAAATGAAAAAATGCTCAATAACATTAATTATCAGAGAAATGCAAATCAAAACTACAATGAGGTATCACCTCTCACCAGTCAGAATGGCCATCATTCAAAAGTCCACAAATGACAAATGCTGGAGAGGCTGTGGAGAAAAGAGAACCCTCCTACACTGCTGGTGGGAATGCAGTTTGGTACAGCCACTGTGGAAAACAGTATGAGATTCCCCAAAAGACTAGGTATAGACTTATCATATGACCCAGTAATCCTGTTCCTGGGCATAGATCCAGAAGGAACCCTACTTCAAAAGGACACCTGCACCCCAATGTTTATAGCAGCACTATTTACAATAGCCAAGACATGGAAACAGCCTAAATGTCCATCAACAGATGACCTGATAAAGAAGATGTAGTATATTTATACAATGGAATACTATTCGGCCATAAAAATCAACAACATAACACCATTAGCAGCAACATGGATGTTCCTGGAGAATGTCATTCTAAGTGAAGTAAGCCAGAAAGAGAAAGAAAAATACCACATGAGATGGCTCATATGTGGAATCTAAAAAAAAAAAAAAGAAGAACATAAATACAAAACAGAAAAAGACTCACAGACATAGAATACAAATTTGTGGTTGCCGAAGGGGGTGGGGGTGGGAAGGGACACACTGGGAGTTAGAAATTTGTAGACTAGATAAACAAGATTATACTGTATAGCACAGTGAAATATATACAAGATCTTGTGGTGGCTCACAGCGAAAAAAATGTGACAATGAATATATGTATGTTCATGTATAACTGAAAAAACGTGCTCTACACTGGAAATTGACACAACATTGTAAAATGAATATAACTCAATATGTTTAAAAAAAGTTATTACAAGATATTGAATTATAGTTCCCTGTGCTATACAGAAGAAATCTGCTTTTTATCTATTTTTATATACAGTGGTTAACATCTGCAAATCGCAAACTCCCAAATTTACTCCTTTCCACCCCCTTTCCCCTGGTAACCACAAGAATGTTTACTATGTCTGTGAGTTTGTTCTGTTTTGTAGATGACTTGCTTAGTGTCCTTTTTTCTTTTCCTTTTTTTTAGATTCCACATATAAGCAATATCATATGGAATTTTTCTTTCTCTTTCTGGCTTATTTCACTTAGAATGATGATCTCCATGTCCATCCATGTTGCTGCAAATGGCATTATTTTATTCTTTTTTACGGTTGAATAGTATTCCATTGTATAAATATACCAAAATTTCTTTATCCCTACCTTTTCTTTTTGTGGTTTGATAACTTTTTGTATTATATTGGTTTCATTTTGGGTTTTGTGACCCTATTGTATGCTTTTAAAAAACAGGTTACACTGTTTTTCAAGTATATTAATCCATTACTGTATCTGTTTGCTTTAAACTGAGTCATAGGCTCAAACACATCCTAAAAAGAATGAAAAAAAGGGAAAAAAATCTATGTTTTCTTTTTTTTATTTACATTTTTATTGATTCATAATCATTTT